GCGGTGCGCGAAGGGGAACAAGCAAGTCCAGGGGGGAGCGGGGTAGAGTCTACATTTTTTAGAACGGGGAGTTCCCCCTGTCGAACTTGAAGTTTGCAGTTCCAGTGCTCGCGCAATCATCACGCCCGCCCGCCCGCCAGTTGTTTCGCAAAACCCATGCGGTGGCGGTTGCGATGGCTGCTTGGCGGTGGCTGTTGCAAAGCTGCGGCCGCGCTTGCGCGCACAGGCTCGCGCGCAGAGTAGCCAGCTAGTTTGGGGCGACCGACGCTGCCGCGGTGGCTCTGGTGACCGCTAGCGATGTCCCAGCGCGTCTCGCAGGCTGCGCTGACGCGTGGGCACTTCAGTGCGAGTCGGTGACCCGGGCGGGCGCGGTATCATGTTGACGTCGACAATGGCAGGCACGATGACGATAGTAGCGATGCGGGTGGCGATGATGACAACGACGACGGCAAGGGCAATCACGGCTCCGATGCTCATTACGTGGTTGACGAGGATGGTGTCCCCGCGTCGGCGATGAAGGTTTTGGAAGGATTTCGACGTGCACGCGCGGCCGACGCGCGTGAGCGGCACGCGTGGTATTATTTTATGGGAATCGTGCCCCTTCTTCCCCGCACGCGCGCAAAGGCGATGAAATGATTTCATCGGGCGAATGCGAGAGGCATGTTCGGTATAATTTGATGATCATGTTGAGAAACCGATGATTGTCCGTCGATGTCGCAATACAGTTAGCTCAGTTTTTTCTCCTGAATCTTGAACGTGCTTATTGCGAAACCATGCGTGTGTGTGTGGGTGTGTTATCCACCAACCATCCAGTGGCGTTGGGTCCTCGTTTTGAAGAGACGACTCCCTGCGTCTCTCCCGCATCCTCCTCCTGCTCCTCCTCCCTCCTCCAGTCCCTGCCCTTGCCCCCCGCACCACTCAACCATGTGCTCCTCGCACGTTTCGTGGCCACATGAGGGGGCTCCATCGAAGGCCCCAGCGACTGCGCTCGCATGTGCCCGCCGCACCCACATCGGCACACCCCTCACACGTTTCGTGGCCCCATAGGGAGGTCCACCGAAGGCCCCAGCCAGGCTGCCAGCTGGTTGTGAACGTGTCTTCCCCTTTTCGTTTTTACTTCCTCTTTCCTTCCTCCCAGTCTTTTTCCCACATCCTGAGTGGGGTTCTTGTTTTCCCAGAACACCCTCCCCTTCCCACCCACCTCCCGCTCCATCTTCCATACAGCACAATATTATTCCTACCACACACACCATACCATACCATAGTGCCTACCACACATACCATACCATACCATACCATACCATACCATACCATACCATACCATACCACACCATACGTACCATACCGTACCATACCATACCATGGCGTACCATAGCATACCATACCATATCACACCAATGCCACACCGTACCATACCATACCATACCTCCAGTACCATACCATACCATATCATACCATACCGTACCATACCATACCTACCATACCATTCCATACCACTCCATACCGAAAACCATACTACTTACATGGTTTCGTGCCCCTCCCACCCCTCCAGGGAGGCCCCGCCTGAGCGAGGAGGGTATCGGAATACCATACTATTTACATGGTTTCGTGCCCCTCCCACCCTCCAGGGAGGCCCCGCCTGAGCGAGGAGGGTATCGGAATACCATACTATTTACATGGTTTCGTGCCCCTCCCACCCCTCCAGGGAGGCCCCGCCTGAGCGAGGAGGGTATTCGGAATACCATACTATTTACATGGTTTCGTGCCCCTCCCACCCCTCCAGGGAGGCCCCGCCTGAGCGAGGAGGGTATCGGAATACCATACTATTTACATGGTTTCGTGCCCCTCCCACCCCTCCAGGGAGGCCCCGCCTGAGCGAGGAGGGTATCGGAATACCATACTATTTACATGGTTTCGTGCCCCTCCCACCCCTCCAGGGAGGCCCCGCCTGAGCGAGGAGGGTATCGGAATACCATACTATTTACATGGTTTCGTGCCCCTCCCACCCCTCCAGGGAGGCCCCGCCTGAGCGAGGAGGGTATCGGAATACCATACTATTTACATGGTTTCGTGCCCCTCCCACCCCTCCAGGGAGGCCCCGCCTGAGCGAGGAGGGTATCGGAATACCATACTATTTACATGGTTTCGTGCCCCTCCCACCCCTCCAGGGAGGCCCCGCCTGAGCGAGGAGGGTATCGGAATACCATACTATTTACATGGTTTCGTGCCCCTCCCACCCCTCCAGGGAGGCCCCGCCTGAGCGAGGAGGGTATCGCAAAACCATACTATTTACATGGTTTCGTGCCCCTCCCACCCCTCCAGGGAGGCCCCGCCTGAGCGAGGAGGGTATCGAAACCATACTATTTACATGGTTTCGTGCCCCTCCCACCCCTCCAGGGAGGCCCCGCCTGAGCGAGGAGGGTATCGGAAAACCATACTATTTACATGGTTTCGTGCCCCTCCCACCCCTCCAGGGAGGCCCAGCCTGAGCGAGGAGGGTATCGGAATACCATACTATTTACATGGTTTCGTGCCCCCCACCTCTCCAGGGAGGCCCCGCCTGAGCGAGGAGGGTATCGGAAAACCATACTATTTACATGGTTTCGTGCCCCTCCCACCCCTCCAGGGAGGCCCCGCCTGAGCGAGGAGGGTATCGGAAACCATACTATTTACATGGTTTCGTGCCCCTCGTGCCCCTCCCACCCCTCCAGGGAGGCCCCGCCAAAGCGAGGAGGGTATCGGAAAACCATACTATTTACATGGTTTCGTGCCCCTCCCACCCCTCCAGGGAGGCCCCGCCTGAGCGAGGAGGGTATCGGAATACCATACTATTTACATGGTTTCGTGCCCCTCCCACCCCTCCAGGGAGGCCCCGCCTGAGCGAGGAGGGTATCCGAAAACCATACTATTTACATGGTTTCGTGCCCCTCCCACCCCTGCAGGGAGGCCCCGCCTGAGCGAGGAGGGTATCGGAAAACCATACTATTTACATGGTTTCGTGCCCCTCCCACCCCTCCAGCGGGGCCCCGCCAAAGCGAGGAGGGCATCAAGAAAATGGGTCCCACGAAACCGTTAATCTCTTTATGTGGGGAACTCCGTTAGCATAATTGTTTGCTTGTTTTGACTCTGTCACCGTCAATGCCTGGCAGGTGTACACGCGCGCAGGGTTCTCCTCTTTGTCCTCTTCCTTCTCTTGCCTCCTCCTGCTCTTGTCCTGTGGGGGGCAGTTCTGCAGGTGTCTCCAGCGAGTGCTGGGGTGGCTTACGCAGGCACGAGCTGCGCGCCCCATTGTTGCTCATTGCCGCCTGTACCCCTTTTCTTTTTCTTTGTACTTGCCAGGACCATGACTCGGACTGGGCCTCCGAGTACGTGCGGGCCAACGCCTGCCGGGCCAATTGCTGGCTGAAGTGCAAGTGGCGTAAACTCAAGTTGTTGTCCGCGTGTCGCGATAACGAGCATCGAGAAGCCGGACGGAAGCATGGTCACCCGAAAGGGCTGCATTTTCTACCCTGGCGGCATGCGTCTTCTTCATGAACCGTCGACGCAGAACTCGCCAGGCGGTTGGGGGTTGCGAGTGCCGAGTTCGACAAGGTAGACAAGGTCTGGTCTCACTCGTACCTCCTGCCAGCTGATCAATCTCTTCATCGCGTGCGTGGTGTAGAAGTTGGCGCGAGACTGCAAACGGCAGATCTGCCGAAATTAGATGCGTGTCAAACGCGTTGTCTGAAACAGATTTCTCACGTCCCGCATTCGTGCGTAAGCTGGGTACTATTTCGTAAGCTGGGCACTATCCCGTATTATCCCGTACTGCGTAAGCTGGGTAACCATCGTTTGTTAAGTCTCAAAACCTCCCGCGCGTCGCTGATGTGGCCGCTCCCGGGCGGCATGGGCCCCAGAAGTTGACGGCCGCGCTTCTCACCAAGTGTACACAGTGGTTAGGACTTGTCTGACATTGCCGCCGTGCCGGCGACCACGTGGAGGCGAGCAATTTGGGGCTGCAGCCAACCTCGCCGCCGCGTCGCTGCTTCTGGCTCTCGCCAGTCCGCCGCCCTGGCTCCTGCCTCTCCGTCCCCCTCCGCTCCCCCCGTCCCCGCCCGCGTCCGTGCCTCCTCTCCCCTCCTGTCCTCTTGCTTCTCGTCTGGAGGCGGCGGATTCGTGCCGCGCCCCCCCGCACGCACGCGCGCCTGGCCTGCGCACTGCGCGTTGCTCGTGTGGCCGGTGGACGCACGGCCTCCGTCTTTCTCCCCGTGCGGGCCGCGCACTGCGCGGCAATGCTGCTGCGGTGCTGCGCGGTGCTGGCGGACCTGCCGTGGTGACGCCTGAGGCCCCGCCGCTTTAGGTAATTCGTCTTTGCGCGGCCCGCTCTGACTCGACTCGCCGTGTGCGCTTCCGCGCGCGGCTGCTAACAAAAAGGTACTGGCGGACCGTGTGGCCACCGTCGCCAGGTGGACGCTGATGGATGGCCTCTCGGCTCCTGCCTCCTCTTTTCCTGCGGCCCCTTCCCCCGCTCCTCCGCCTCCGCCTCCTCCTCCGCCTCCTCCTCCTCCGCCTCCTCCTGCCTCCTCCGGGGGCGACTGGCAGGGGCAGGGCGGAGGCCGCTCCTCTTTTCCTGCGGCCCCCCCATCCCTCAAGCACTGGCCCCTGGACCCCTTCAGGGGTGAGTTCCGACGACTTTCCAGCTCCGGCAGGAGGTCGGCCGCCGCGGCCCGAGGCCCCAAGCCGGCCAGCAGCGGGCAGACGTCTGGACCCTCGACCCTCGAGACCCTCGATCCCCGAGGCTCGATCCTCCTCCTCCCCGTCCCACGCCTCGACCCTCGACCCTCGACCCTCGATCCTCCTCCTCCTCCTTCCCCTCCTCCACCTCCTCCTCCTCCTCCTCCTGCCCCTCCTCCTCCACCTCCTCCTCCTGCTCCTCCTCCCCAGCCTCGATCAGCGGTCCTCCCCCTGCCCCCCTTTGTCCTGGAGCGCGCCCCCGCCCCCCTTCCCCCCCCGCGCCGGAGGTGCCCGCAGGCGGCCCGCCTCGGCGGGCGCGCCGGGGAGGCAGGCGGGGCGCCGCTGGTGACCGCCGCGTCGGCGCGCTGCCGGGACGGAGCGCCTCACGACGAAGGGCGCGATTGAAGCTCCTCCTCCACCTCCTCCACCTCCTCCTCCTCCTCCTCCTCCTCCTGCTCCTCCTCCTCCACCTCCTCCTGCTACTCGTCGTCCTCCTCCTCCTCCTCCTCCTCCTCCTCGTCCTCCTCCTCCTCCTCCTCCTCCTACTCCTCCCCACCCCCACGAGCGCCCAGAGCTCCCACCCCCACGAGCGCCCCACCCCCAGGGGCGCCGGGACGGAGCGCCCAGAGCTCCGACGTCATCCGGGCGTTCTTCCTGGATGCGTCGGCCTCCAGGGCCTGGAGAGCAAGACTGCTCCCAGGGAAGGGGTCGTGACTTCTGTCACTGGAGGACACAGCTGGCGTTTACTCAACGGTCCCGGGGGTTTGCCAAACAGCCGTGCCCTGTTCGATGTCCTCCTTGGGTGTGTCTACTGGACGGCCTCGCTTGTCGGGGTGCCTATTCTCGGGGTGGCTTCTCTGCCCTCTAATCCTCCCGGGGCCGCGGAGTGAAAAATCCACGTCGGTGGATGTCTGGGTGTGACCCCGTCTGGGCACCGCCTGATCCCAGGGCTTCGCCCTCTCCCGGCCGCGTGAGGCCCCGCCTTCTTCCGCCCTTCTCTCTGCTAATTAAAGCTGTGCGCGTCCCGCTTAGCTTTCAGCGGAAGAGGCTCGCTCTCGCCCCGCATATCAAAAAGTGTGACCCCGTCTGGCACTGTGTCGCCGGCCCGGCCTGCACCCACGAGAGTGCGGCCTCGCCTTCCTCTCCCGGCACGGTGCCCCGAGGCCGCAGCGCTGGCCTCCTCCTCAGGCGGCGGGGGCGCCCTCCAGCGGCGGGTGGGCGGGGGAGGGGCCTCCCTCCCCCTCTCCCCTCCCCTCCCCCTCTCCCCACCCTCCCCTCTCCCCTCCCTCCCTCCCCCTCTCCCCTCCCCTTCTCCCCTCCCTCCCCCTCTCCCCTCCCCTCTCTCCCATCCCTCCCTCCCCTTCCTCCGCCCCCCACGGAGGGGACAGGCGGGGGCGGGGTCACAGGGGACGGGGGTGGGCGGGGGAGGCGGAGGAGCGATGCGGGAGAGGGGCGGTGAGGAGAGACGTCCTCCCCTCCCCCTGCTCCCTGGGAGGAAGAAGGGAGGCGATGGGCTGGGCTGTGGGATGGCGGGTGCTTCTTGTTTGACGACGGCCGTTCGCCCCAACGGATGCGAGGCGAGCCGGCGCACATCAGGCCGAAAGGGACGTGGTCAGGGGCGAGGTGCGGGTGCGCGCCCGAGGCTGATGCGGCTACGCGGCTGGGGTTCGGCCCGAACCCCAGCCGCGAGCCGTTCGGGGGCAATGCTGGGAGGTTGGGGGGTAATTAGGCTCAGAGGGGCTTGCATCGACCCGAATCGCCCGTTCGTCACTGATGAGGGCCTGACAGCCCACCCCGCCCAGGAACGTACGCATCCGCCACCCGGGGCCCATCGGCGATCTATCTGCGATGTATCGCCGATTCGAGCTTACTGTTCACCCCGCCTGTCCGAAACCGCCTGCGGCCTCTCTTCCTCTGTGAATCCGCTCGGACCACTGGCCGCGCGCCTCCGCCTCCGCGTTGTGCTCGTGTGAGTCGCCCGCCGCTTGGTCGACCACCGCCATTCTGTCCCTTCCGAAGCCCTCCATCGTAGCAGGCTCCACGTTGGCGGTGCCCGAGTCCAGTTCCACTTAGCAGACGCGGCCGCATGGGGCCGTCTGGAAGAGGCCTTCGCGAGGGAAGCGTTGTGTATGAGGCACCGCGGTGCTTACCACCTTAGCCCCGCGTCGGGCCAGGCTCTTGCCCGACAGGGGGTGTTAGTCTGTCTGTCTGCACGGCGTGTGATAGTGTTGCACCCTCGTGTGATGGTACAATCGTCGCAGCACATGCGACGTTGCTTGCTTGAAGAAGGGCTCTATCTGCTGCAGCTCCGACCCCACGTCCACAACCTTGAAGCTCGGGACGGTCACCGGGCCTCCGATTCGGCGTGGCATATGCTTCACATCGAGCGAATCCGCGTGCAACGGTGGTAGGTTGTTGTTCGGTGCCGCTGGCTGCAGCACCTTCGGTCGCATGTGCTGGTTGCAGACATCACAGATCAGCTCCCTCGCCATCGCCAGAGCCTGCTCGCTGGCCTTTCCTTTCCGAAGAACCAGGACCAGCGTGTCAGTCGCTGGGTGTCCCAGGCTCTTGTATAGCCTTATGAGCGCGAATCTGATGCTTTTGTCCGTGAGCTTCGGCGCAGACCCATGTTCCACCGATGCAGCCAGTGCCTTCACCACTTGTATCGCATCCCATGCCGCCAGCGCTCCCTGCACGATGCGCACCAGCAGCGGGTTCGGATACGGCGGAACCTGCTGCGTTTCATGCCGCCCGTCATGACGTCCCAGGCTCGCACGAGGGTGTGTCCACCGCCGCGGTGAGTCTCCACTGCCTCCGCCCGTGTCTGCTCGTTCGCCAGGAGCTGCCACTACTTCGCAAAAGGTGTCGCGTGCCCGCGTCTCGGGCAGCCCATTTGCGCATCTCGCGCTGTTGACCACGTAGAGTTGTTTTTTGAGGAGGATCAGAGAAGGCCTCCATCTCCTCGAGCGTCCAAGTACCACCTCCCACGGAATCCTCGAAGAGGAAGATGCTGCCCAGCCTCACATGCACCTCGGCCAGCTTCACGCGCCACTTCATGTAGTCCTCCACTGTAGTCCCTGGTCCACTTGCGCATGTCCTTTGGCACTGCGTTCAGAGCCTGTAGCATGGCCATGTCCCAACCCGTCTTCAGGCCAAAGGCTCTGGGGTTGGTCATTCCGACGGTTGCAGCCGCTTGGGCAATCATCAGTGGCGAGAGGACCGTCATGATGCCGATAGCGCTTCGGTTCTCGACGTTGGTGTTGTTCGCTGATGCTTCCATGCTCCTCCGCTGCTTCTTGCTCAGCACTGCCTGGTATATCTCTGACACGTCCTTTCCCGCCGCCTCGGCCGCAGCCATCTGTGTCATGCACTGTCCCGACTCGAAATCTCCAGGAACGCAAGCAATGATTTCTGGCCCCGGCTCCTCGAGCTTTCCGTCCATCACGTCTATGAGGGCTATCCCCTCGGTTGTTTGGTAGACTTGGACATCGAGCATCTTCCAGCTCATGATCCCCTTCTCACTCGCACAGGCCAGGGTTGAGCACAGTTCGACGATGTTGTGTCTGTCCGCCCCTCCCTCGCTCGTCCTCAGGTGTACTGTCTGCCCGATGGCGACGAACAGCACCTCGTCCTTCTCAAAATGCAGGTGGCGCTTGAAGAGCAGCATCGGCGTCGCCCCTGGTACGATGTGGACGGACCTCGATCCCAACCACTGGGGGATTCACACTTTTTCCTATGATCTCTTTTTGCCATCAAGCCCGGACCTGGACAGTGTCGCCCACTCATCCATGTCTTAGACGAAATCCCTTCCTGGCCACCCGCTTCGCACCAGCGGTTGCTTTACACAGTGTCTGGCCGCCGATTATGCTCTTCGAGCACCCTCTGTTCACACAGCCCGTGCCCTTGTCGATCGTGCACTTCAACGTCTTTGTCGTCTCCACCTTCCTTCGGCGTATCCAGCACCTTCTTCGCCGCCGACTTGTTCGTTCAGTCTGTCGTTAATGATGTCCAACGATGACGTCGCACACGACGCCGAGTAGGCTGCACAGAAGCTGGCACCACGTGATCCCGTCGACGTCGGCGTCGAGCTTCTGAAGGATCCTAGCGATGACGTCAGCTGGCGCCTCGGCTCCAGACAGGTCCGCGAGATGTGCCCGAGCTTCGACGGTTGAAGCGCTTTCTCACCTTCTCGGCGGCGCGCCCGGGGGGGGAAGTGAGAGGAGGCGGGCCTTCTCAGAAGGCTCGGAAGCCCTCCAGCCTCCTGAGAAGGTTTCTGGGCCTCTCCCGAAGACTCTGGGAAGCTTGGGGGGGGCCTGCCCCGCCTTTCATTAGCAGTGGAAGCTGATACTGGGGGACGGTCCTCCTCCTCCTCCTCCTCCTCCTCCTCCTCCTCCTCCTCCTCCTCCTCCCTCCTCCTCCCCCTCCCCCTCCCCCTCCCACTCCCCCCCTCCTCCCCCTCCCCCTCCTCCTCCTCCTCCTCCTCCTCCTCCTCCTCCTCCTCCTCCTCCTCCTCCTCCTCCCGAGAAACTTCTCAGAATGTTGGAAGGCTTCTGAGAAGCCCCGCCGCCCTCTGAGAATGCCTTTTCCCCTCCTCGCTTCCACCCTCGCCCACCGCCGATCTTCCTTACCTCGTCAAGCGGACTCTCTCCTGTGATGCCCGAAGGATTCTGCAAAAAACGAAGGATTGCAAAAAAGGATTGCAAAAAAAAGAAGGATTGCAAAAAAACGAAGGATTGCAAAAAACTGAGGATTGCAAAAAACGAACGAAGGATTGCAAAAAAACCTTGCAATCCTTCGTTCTCGAACTTCCTGCTCAGCTTAGTGTTGTTGATCGCCGTGCTCGCCTCTTTCCATATACTTCGACCGTGCCGCCAGCACATTCAAGGCTTCGCTCTCCTCGAGCGTACCTTCCTCGGGAATGTCCTCGGAACTGCTGTCTGTCAGCAGCGTCTGCACCTCGGACACCTCCCCCACGCTCTCGTCCTCCATTTTTGCCCCCCCCCCCCCCCCCCCCCTCCGCCTTCGCCGAGGTGAACTCGATAGCTTAGCCGCGGGCGCATCCAGTGCGAGGTCCTCAGCGCTGCAAGCAGGCGGCTGACCTTTCACGATCTCTGGTCCGCTGCTGTGCCTGCGGGGACACTTTTTGGAGGCATTACGTTGCCAGATAAGGCGCGGCACCTGATCCTGTGAGGACACTTTTTGGAGGCATTACGTTGCCAGATAAGGCGCGGCGCCTGAGCCTGTGAAGACACTTTTTGGAGGCATTACGTTGCCAGATAAGGCGCGGCGCCTGAGCCTGCGAGGACACTTTTTGGAGGCCTTACGTTGCCAGATAAGTCGCGGCGCCTG